GTACCGGACCGGGACCGGCTACGGGATCGCAACCCTCGGTGTTGCTCCCGTACCTCGCTCAGCCAGTGAGCGGGAACCGGTCTGTATGTGGGATCCGAACCCTCGGGCGGGAGCGCCGCCGCGCTTCCCAAGCGGCGCACTATCCAGTGCGCCACTGGGCCGGCCCACAACACATGATCTTAATTCCATAAAATATCCAATTTCATTTTATGTAATAATCAAAACAGCTTTTCTGCAGGAGTTTGACTCCCCCGACCTGCTGCTGAAGCCTGCTGCTTGTGGGAAACCCACAGCTGCAGAAAGGGGACAGGGGAGGGTCTCTTCTCTCAACTCAACAAACGACTGCCACCTATTTACATGTATTTAGCTCATCATTACTTAGCACCTTTTTTTAGCCTGTTAGTTTCTTATTCTTTAGCTCTATCTCTGGTCCTTCTGAAACTGGGACCAGGGCCAGAAAAGCAGGCAATCCTGCTGTTGCAGGACAGTCCCCATTCTGCTGGCCGGACCCCTCTTCTTACAGTGTGTTAGGAGTTTCTGCAGAGATTTCTGTCACTGGTGACCTAGCACCAGCATTCCCATATGCAGGTGATGCAGTCCTCCAGCTTTGACACCTCAGTCTTATTTGCCCCTTGAGGAGGCCCCCCAGGAAGAACGTAGGATGAAAGCTCAAGGCTCTGTGGGTGCACAGACTGCAGGTGCAGCCCCCTTCCCTTCAGCTCACCCGCAGCAGCTGGCCACCGTTGGGCCCTTGTGACTTCCCAGGCAGGGATCACACACCCGTCCACTGTGTCCACTGACTGCAGGAAACTCACATGAGGCTCACGGAGGGCCCCAGGTCTTTTCTGTGATTTGAGGCAGAAGACAAGGCAGCCCCCACATCTCCTCTTAGGGGTGGGGTGGGGTTAGACTTGGAGGTCATCAACAATTCCCCCTGAAGAAATCTACAGAAAATCCTCTCATATCCCTCTTCCAACCCTTTTATGTCTTCATTGTACACTAGGGGCTTAAAAGTCATTTAACCAGTGCTCACCCACCAACCTTGATATTTTTACCAGAGGAGCTCCTTTGGAATGTAGCATCTATTGTCTTCATGCCTCAAATGTCCTACTTGACATTAACTCTCCCGAGGCCATACAGCTGCCATGAGGGACTCTGGAACTAGAACCCATCCACGATTCACTGTTGTTGTTTGTAGTCATTTTCCTCAAGTTGGTCATCTAAGTTTTCATCCAAATTTTTATCATTATAAACAATGCTACTATGTCCATCCTTATTATTTTCTCACACATCTGTCATGACAGATGGAATAAATTCCTAGAGACAGCATTGTTAGGTCAAAGATAAACCAACTATTTCCTTAAAAAGCTTAAAATTTTAGAATTTGAAGATGAAATTTTGTGATTCCTTACCTTAAAAAGATGGTTTCACTTGCCAATGTTGCTTTATCTAAGTAAGCCATCCGTGTACAGAGAACCCTCTTTTTTAGAGGCAGAGACAGATTTTTATGACAGGCAGTCAGGTGTGCTGAGTGGTGAGTCTCCCATTTCCCTGTTTCTCTCTACCACGACTGAGTCTCTGCTTTGAGCCTTCATTCCACCTGGTGGGAGAATAAGTACATTTCATCAATTCCCAGTAAATTTGGCCATTTCATGTCTACACTGAGTCCTTTTGGGAATTTTCCCTCTTCTTTTATTCATTTTTTTTAGAGGGCAGGGAAGACATCTACGTTCTCGGGAACTCGTGGACGTGGAATGTCATGGCTTTGTGGAGGGCAGGGAGGGGATGGGACAGGAGTGATCTGCTACTTGGTGGTGCTGTCCTCACAGGCATCCTCTGTGTTTCAGAACTGTGGCTTGTCCTCAGGCACTGTCACCTCATCCTGGCATCCCCACCCCAGCCAGTGCCCCCTGCTTTCTACAGAGGCGACCCCTCTTCCCAGCCTGAAGGCCTGCCTGGGCTGGGGCCCGGGGTGCTCACCCTGTCTGTCCCCTTACCCTGGTTTTGGGAAGCTGGTGGCCTGCCTCATCTCCTTCCTCGTCCTGGTGCCTCCCTCAGCCATCACCACTTGCTGCCCTTAGGACAAGGACAAGAGAGGAGTCTCCATGAGGCACAGTATCCTCTACTCTCATCTCCTCCAAAACCCACGTGGGGATCCTGCCCTTTCCTTCCACTGTTACACCTTAGTCAGGCATTTTTCTCTCTCTCTTTCCCTCTGACTTTTTTCCTTCTCCCTGTCTTCAGACAACAAACTGCTAGCACCGCGTGTTCTTCTGAAACCTGTGGTTGAGGCATTAACTCTGACTTTTGGTCCACAAAAGTCAGGTTTTTGAGACTTTCTCGCAACATGCTATCTTCCTTGAAGTGAAAATGCACAGAACTGACCCATTTGTTCTCCTGGGGTGTCTGCCCAAAGGCCCTGTGTCTCCTGGGTGCTGCCTCAAGTGTCAGGAGGGGTCCTGAATCAACAGGGACCTGGCAGGAATGAAATACATCTGTTAATATGAAAACACTTCTCCACTCCAGGGACAGCAGCAGCATGCACGTGCACTGCAGACTGAGAAGGCCCCGTGTGGGGCGGGCCGGCTCCCTCTGGCCCCTGGAAGAATTATAAAAATGTGACTCCATTCATCATGAAGCAATTTTACATCAATAATTGCATATATTATAACATAGCCCCTGGAAGAATTATAAAAATGTGACTCCAGGAGGGAAAATGGCGGCGGGTCTGGAGCACCCGTGTCGGGAAACAGCGCGATCCTGAGTGTATCATAAGTCTAGCTTTTGAGTCTTTTCATTAAAACTTTTGCATTTTATATCCTGTTAATAAATACTAGTTTTAAAAATGAGGATATGCTTCCTTGGAAGATGTCAAAGATCAAGAAAAGCAACCCGAAACCTAGAGAGGTTTTCTGTTCAGGTGGATTCTGATTGATTTCAGGTGGATTAAAAGTCTTCCACAGTTAGTAACTTTCATAGAGCAGTCTGAGTTTAGTTAGTATCGTTCTTTGCACACACTCCAGATCTTGAGGAGAAATGGCATTTAAGTTTACCACAGGAAAAGCATTAAAAGGGCCTTGGAAGCTGCAGTACCTGCTAATGTAGAAGCATGGGCTTTCCACTCAGGGCTGCCCCATGTGGGCTTGGCTGAGGCAGCACGGTTTGCCCTCTCCCTGTGTGTCACCTGGTACAGAAGCAGGGTGAAGCCTGTACTCCTCGGTTCACAATCTGTTATGTTCTCCAGCATTGAACCACGTTCACTATCAAATGCTTTACCTTGA